AGTAAAATACTATCTTGGAGGTGATAGTACAGGGATTAGTTCAATAATTACATAGTAACATACACTAACGTAGTAAGAAATTGGTCACTAATATCAATCAGACTCTGTAATGTTTCCATCATGAAGGAAGATTGCTAGATCATTTTAATTTGTATTGTAGTAAAGACGGCCTACATTTGTTTTTCTTACTTGAATTTGTCCATCACGTACAAAGCACTGATGAATTTTATCATTATTCTCACGTTTTAGTTTTCTCACTCTGTACAGGAGGTTCTGTAGTTTACTTGTGAGACACTCGTTTATGTATATATCTTTTTTTGCTTTGATAGATGAAATTATTAGATCTATCTTTCTGTCTTGTGTGTGAAATCTAAGCATAACACTTTTTCTACTTTGGTTCCCTAGTAACCGTGATTCTTTTATTTCCGACACTGGTACATTAACCTGTAGGTGGTCACGTATGATCTGGAGAGTTGTATCTTTGCAGTTGGAATGGTTTAATTCACTGGGAAAGAGTGGAGTGTTAATTACTACTGCATCAGATAACTTGTCTTGCTCTGCCTTATCATCTTCGTTAGCAAAATAATTGTTCAATTGGGTATCCATGTTTATTTTCCAGTCTTTGATGGCATTATCAATCTTCATGTTTAGGGAAGTTATTTGGTCTGAGTGACTGGCTATGACTGATTGGAGGGCCTTGCCAAAATTAGTCGTGCCAGTTCATGTTTGCTGTTGTTCAAGGTTGTTGATCTTGTTCTCAAGGTGAAGTAGTTTAGATTCACGGTTTGATATTGTTGCACGGAGAGACATATTTTCAGCACGAAGATTCAGGTTATCCGTCTTTAGGGTGGTGATGTAGTGCTTTAGAATGTCAGGATCATTAGTCATACCTGGGAGCATATCAGATGGGTTAAATCCTATGAAGGTAGTAGAGGTAGAGAGGGAGTCAGTCATGGTCGGTGTTGTTGTTGTAGCGTCAGCTTGGTTCGGCGTTGAGGGTGAATCGGCCATGTTTGTTGTTGGTGATGCGTCGCTCTGGGTTTTAAGGGAGGTGGATGATGCACCGGCATCCTGCTGGGTCGTCGTATGGAATAGTCGATTTCTAGGTGCTGCTTTGCTGGTCTTAGTGCTGTTTCTTCTATTAGTTGGTCTCATAGTAGTACAGGAGCTGCTGTTGTTAGATGAAGAAACTAAGATAGTTAAGAGCTTGGAGTTGGTAGTCGTCTGGCAGCGGGGTTGTGCTCGGAGATGGAGGGGCAGTCTTCACTTCAATCCGTAGTTTATCGGTTTGTAGGTATCACTGTTGATTGTCTTGGGTCATGCTGGGTTCTACGTATGTTAGTGCAGTTAAGAGTGCAATTAGGCCATCATAGAAGCGTTGGTGGGCTCTGCAGGTGAGAAAAGTAACAGAGCTTGCTGCCGCTGCCGCTTCTGCTTATTATTATTATTATTATTATTATCGTTATTATTATTATACTTATATAAATTATTTGTAATTTTTATTCACACAAAAAATATAAGATTTACTGTTATTCCTTATTGCAATAATTGTATAAATATGTCAACCCATTCATGACTGCATTTTGGAATGGACAGTGACGTCATTTGTTTACTCTGAAACAGCCAAGCAATGGACCACTTCTCCTAGTTTGAGCTCAATTTCAAGGCACTTTTCATCATGAAAGCAATCAAAATCATATCTATTTCTGTAATACAGTGGACCCCCGGTTAACGATTTTAATCCGTGCAAGAGGGCTCATCGTTATGCGAAATAATCGTTATGCGAATGAATTTTCCCCATAAGAAATAATGGAAATAAAATTAATCCGTGCAAGACGCCCAAAAGTATGAAAAAAATTTTTTTTTACCACATGAAATGTTAATTTTAATACACACAAACTGAAAAAGGCATGCACAATTAAATGACACTTACTTTTATTGAAGATCTGGTGATGATTGATGGGATGGGAGGAGGGGAGAGAGTGTGTTAGTGTTTAGAAGGGGAATCCCCTTCCATTAGGACTTGAGGTAGTAAGTCCTTTTCTGGGGTTACTTCCCTTCTTCTTTTAATGCCACTAGGGCCAGCTTCAGAGTCACTGGACTTCTTTCGCACAAGATATCTGTCCATAGTGGCCTGTACCTCTCGTTCCTTTATGACTTGCCTAAAGTGTTTCACAACATTGTCAGTGTAATAATCACCAGCACGGCTTGCAATAGCTGTGTGAGGGTGATTTTCATCCATGAAGGTTTGCACTTCAAGCCACTTAGCACAGATTTCCTTTATCTTTGTAGTAGGCAACTTCTTCAATTTCTCTCTCCCCTCCTCTGAACCAGTTTCCTCAGGTCTGGCCTCTTGCTCTTGAAGTTGATCTATCAGCTCATCAGTGGTTAGTTCTTCATTGTCCTCCTCCACCAACTCTTCCACATCCTCCCCACTAACCTCCAACCCCAAGGACTTTCCCAATGCCACAATGGATTCCTCAACTGGCACAGGATTCTCAGGGTTAGCCTCAAACCCTTCAAAATCCCTTTTGTCTACACATTCTGGCCACAGTTTCTTCCAAGCAGAGTTCAAGGTCCTCTTAGTCACTTCCTCCCAAGCCTTACCTATAAGGTTTACACAATTGAGGATATTAAAGTGATCTCTCCAAACTCTCTTAGAGTCAGTTGAGTTTCTGAGGTCATTACAAAGCACCTTCCAAACAGAGCTTTTGTGTACAGTTTCTTGAAGTTGGAAATAACCTGCTGGTCCATGGGCTGCAGGAGAGGAGTGGTATTAGGAGGCAAAAACTTCACCTTAATGAAGCTCATGTCCCCATAAAGTCGCTCTGCCACGTCTGTAGGATGACCAGGGGCATTGTCTAACACCAGGAGGCACTTAAGTTCTAATTTCTTTTCAGTTAGGTAATTTTTCACATTGGGGCAAATGCATGGTGTAACCAGTTATAGAAAAAATTCCCTAGTGACCCATGCCTTACTGTTTGCCCTCCACAGCACACACAAATTATCCTTGAGGACATTCTTTTGCCTGAACGCTCTGGGAGTTTCAGAGTGATACACTAATAAAGGCTTCACTTTGCAATCACCAGTAGCATTGGCACACATCAACAAAGTAAGCCTGTCTTTCATAGGCTTATGTCCTGGGAGTGCCTTTTCCTCCTGAGTAATGTAGGTCCTGCTTGGCATTTTCTTCCAGAACAGGCCTGTTTCATCACAATTAAACACTTGTTCAGGTTTCAGTCCTTCAGTTTCTATGTACTCCTTGAATTCCTGCACATATTTTTCAGCCGCTTTGTGGTCCGAACTGGCAGCCTCACCATGCCTTATCACACTATGGATGCCACTACGCTTCTTAAATCTCTCAAACCAACCTTTGCTGGCCTTAAATTCACTCACATCATCACTAGTTGCAGGCATTTTTTTAATTAAATCCTCATGCAACTTCCTAGCCTTTTCACATATGATCGCTTGAGAGATGCTATCTCCTGCTATCTGTTTTTCATTTATCCACACCAATAAGAGTCTCTCAACATCTTCCATCACTTGCGATCTTTGTTTCGAAAACACAGTTGAACCTTTGGCAAGAACAGCTTCCTTGATTGTCTTTCTGGTGCCCACAATAGTAGCGATGGTTGATTGGGGTTTCTTGTACAGCTTGACTAGGTCGGCTATACGCACTCCACTTTCATACTTATCAATTATCTCTTTCTTCATCTCTATAGTAATTCTTACCCTTTGAGGTGTAGGGTTGGCACTAGAAGCTTTCTTGGGGCCCATGGTCACTTATTTTCCAGAAACAGCACCGAAAATACTGTAATAATACGAAATATTCCGAGTGTATGCTTGGATGTTACCGCGGAGGCTGGCTGGTAAACAATGGGACGGGGCGGCACATGTGAGGCTGGCTGAGGGCACATTGGACGCGTCTCGGACGAAAATCGGTAAGCGGGTTTTTAATCGGTATGCGCGGCAAAAATTTTGCGATAAAAGTAATCGTTATGCGGAAAAATCGCTATGTGATGCCATCGTTATGCGGTGGTCCACTGTATATCTTCCATTCTATCAAATGAGACCAAAAAAACGAGAATACAACCATAAAAACCATTTGAAATTACCACTAAACGGTGGCTAATTGCTGAGAAGTGAACTCCATTATTTATGCTTAGATTTCTTTCACTATTATTATTATTATTATTATTATTATTATTATTATTATTATTATTATATAAATTGTAATTTTTATTTACACAAAAAATATAAGATTTACCGTGATGTCTTTTGTTTACACTGAAACAGCCAAGCAATGGACCATTTCTCCTAGGTTGAGCTCTATTTCTAGGTACTTTTCATCGTGAAAGCAATCAAAACCATATCTATTTCTGTAATATATCTTCCATTCTATCAAATGAGACCAAAAAACGAGAATACAACCATAAAAACCATTCGAAATTACCACTAAGGGGGGGGCTAATTGCTGAGAAGTGAACTCCATTATTTATGCTTAGAGTTTTTCATTTTTGGTGTACGTTAAGAAGCATCTTTCCATTATACATTGCCCAAGTTTCAATAAGATAGTCCAACAAACAAATGAGATAAAATTCCTGAGATCAAGAGCAAGAGCCCCTCACCAGTGTCAAGGAACCTGCCTTGAGGTCCTTGAGGTCTGCTTGCTTGTGGAACTTTCGCTCGCATATGGAAGCAAAAAATCGACCCATCGACTGCTCGTATTTGGAAAAACTCGCATGTGGACACGCTCGCAAGTAGAGGTTCCACTGTATTATGAAATATTTCATATGAGCAAGTGAGGGGACTGTTGCTCACTGGTAAACAATGCCACACTGGCTGGGAAAGGAGGCCGGGGCGGCTCAGAGCGTGAGTACGCGTCCCAGACGAATGACTATTCGTGAGTTAAACTATGATTAGCGAGCCAATGTTTTGACGAAAATATTGTTAAGATTTTCGAAAATTACGACTATTGAGCCTTACGATTATCGAGGGACCACTGTACGTATTTGGAGTGCTGGCAGTGAAAACATAGATCTACGTTTAGACAGTTAACGGGTTAACATAATGTGTTAGGTTAATTAACTGTGGTATAATCTCCAGGATCCTTAACAAGCCTCATGAGCATGGCGTCCAGTACTGCCAGGATGGTGGCACCCAACCAAGGCAGAGGCAGACGCCTGGCACCCAAGTTCTCTATGACACCATCAGTCAGCATGGCACCTCTGATGACACCCACTGTGGCAGCACCCGAGGCCAAGGCACCCTCCTCCGAGGCGTGCCTGCTGCCTTCAGCACCACTGACAGGTACGTGTCCCCTACACTCACCATTATGGCACCTCCTCCCACACCACCCCTTACAGTGATGACACTGTCTTGTCATGTTCTTAACTCTTTGACTGTCGCAGGCCCCTTTCTGAAACTTTCATTCTGTCGCAAAATATTCGGAAAAAAAAAATTTTTTCTTATGAAAATGTTAAGATTATTTTTCTGAGTGTTTTAGTCCAAAAAAAATTTTTTTTGCCATCAGTACTTACTGAGATATAGAGGCATGAAAGTTACAGAAAATGAGCCGCGTATGGCAACAGCAGCGACTGCCGCTCACCCGGTAAACTTTGGTTTATTTACATTTGAAGGTTTGTTGTTTTTTTCACTTTATTTTTTCACATAACCTATGTGGCCTGTAAGACCAAAGTAAGGTGCAATGTACATACATATATATACACTCGTTGTATACAGCACAATAAGCACACAAACATAATTATCAATATATTGTTTACAAAACTTGTTTACAAAAACAAACAATACAAAAAATTTTTTATTACTATTGTTCTGTAATATATATACCAATGAACAGTCACCAAACATATTCCTAGAAGTTCTGCAGCTTGTGGAACTCTTTGAAACATGTTTTCAAACACAATGGTGTTTTACACTCTCACACATAAAACCAGTGTGTGTGCATTTTTGTGGACCTTTTTTTTTTTTTTTTTTTTTTTTTTTTTTTTTTTTTTTTTTTTGTGCAAAGACAAAACACCTTGTCTGAGCAGTTTTCTTCAAAGTATTAGCAGGCAGTTGTGTTATGTAGTTATCCTAGGTAAAGAGTCGTGTGTCATCATTCCTTCCTTCCTGCATTCATTTCCTACCTACCTTCCTACATTCCTTTCCTACCTTCCTGCCTTCTTTCCTACCTTCCTGCCTTCTTTCCTACCTTCCTGCCTTCTTTCCTACCTTCCTGCCTTCTTTCCTACCTTCCTTCATTCCTTTCCTACCTTCCTGCATTCCTTTCCTACCTTCCTGCATTCATTTCCTACCTTCCTTGCTACCTTCCTGCATTCCTTTCCTACCTTCCTGCATTCCTTTCCTACCTTCCTGATATCCTTTCCTACCTTCCTGCAATCCTTTCCTACCTATCTTCCTGCATTCCTTTCCTACCTTCCTTCCTACATTCTTTCGTCTTTCCTTACTTTTTTCCTTCCTTTCATCTCGTCCTTCCTTCATTCCTGCCTCCCATTCTTCTTTCTGGTTTTTATAATATATATACACATATATAGTCACTGGATACTTTAATGTAACTGCTATTATCTTTATTCATCAAGCTTGTCTTGGGTGCGAGTGTGTGGCTTATAATTGTTTTGAGTCAGGAGTCGGCAGCTGTCAAAATGACATATTATCTCATTACTCACTCCCCCTACCACCTGTCAAAACAATGGGGTTGGATGCTGCTTCCCCTCCATTCTAATTATCTTTCTCCCTCATTCTGTCTCTTTCAATCTGTCTCTCTCTTTCTATCTGTCTGTCTATCTCTGTCTCACAGATACACATAAATACAAGTATACATAGTGTAAATTACCTAGGATAGCCCAAAAAATCCAGACAAAGTACTATACTCTGCTTGAAGACGTGAGTAAACGTGATGATGACACAGTCTTGTGGCTCTCTCTGAGACAGAGAGCTAAATGGATAGATGGAGGTTGGCATACAGACAGAAATGTTTGTGTACCAGCAAAAACAAAGGGAGGACGATGATCATCTAATCTTTTCTTATCAGCTGCACCCTCCCTCACCCTCGTTTACGCTCATCAAACGCCAGCTCTTATCAGATGTTATCTCTCCTTATCATGTCACTGTCATGGGGTGGACTTTTTTTTTTGCTTGCTTCAAGGGAACAATATTATTACATCTTCTTTTTCTTCCTCTTCCTCCTCTTCTTCCTCTTCCTCCTCTTCTTCCTCTTCCTCCTCTTCTTCCTCTTCCTCCTCTTCCTTCTCTTCTTCCTCTTCCTCCTCTTCTTCCTCTCTTCTTCCTCTTCCTCCTCTTCTTCCTCCTCTTCTTCCTCTCCTCTTCTTCTCCTCTCTTCTCCTCCTCCTCTTCCTCCTCTTCCTCCTCTTCCTCCTCCTCTTCCTCCTCTCTCCCTTCCTCCTCTTCCTCTTCCTCCTCTCTTCTCCTCCTCCTCTTCCTCCTCCTCCTCTTCCTCTCCTCCCTCCTCTTCCTCCTCCTCTTCCTCTTCCTCCTCCTCTTCCTCCTCCTCTTCCTCTCCTCTTCCTCCTCCTCTTCCTCCTCCTCTTCCTCCTCCTCCTCCTCCTCCTCCTCCTCTTCCTCCTCCTCTCCTCCTGCTCCTCCTCCTCCTCTTCCTCCATTGCTTTTGGTCTCAAACTCCTGGAAATCATGAAATTGATCTTCACTGAACTTCCATCTGTGTTAGAGCATCACTTGGGAAGAGAAGAGTCCCAGATTTGCTGGGGAGTCACATATTTCTTACCGCTAAGCATGCTGAAAAAGGATGACTGAAATGGCATTCCAACAATACACCACTGGCTCCCCGATTTTTTTTATATGGTGCACACTGACCATGGAGACCCATTCTCTCACATGTGGGCCTACCAGCTTTCTCCTGCTTGATTTGAAGGTGCTAGAATTTATGCGTATAAATACGTCAGAAACAGTAGCGCGTAAGATGTATATATGTATATGGCGTAAACAGTCAAAGGGTTAAACTGTCCAAACGTAGATCTACGTTTTTTCAACATTTGAAAGTATGTAAAAAAAGTAGATCTTTTTTTTTTTTTACATCTGAAAACGTGTAATAAAACTTTGATCTACTTTTTTTGTTATATTTGAAAATATGTAAAAAAAATGTAGATTTACTTTTGGAGCACTTCGCATGTGAGCGTAGATCTGCTTGGACAGTTTAAGGGTTAATGACTGTGTTACAGGTGGTATCTTAACTTGCTGCATATAACTGTTCCTTGACTTATGAAGGGGTTATGTTGTGATGAACTCAGCATAAGTTGAAAATATCGTAAGTCGAATATGAATACAGCAGGAACCCCATATCTGCAGGGAATACTTTCCAAGGACCTGCCATGGATATTGAGATCGTGGGTAGTAGAAAATATTATATATAAATTCTATACATAACTATTATAAAGTTTAATTGATAAATTATGCACAATAAGTGGAAAATTATCACTTTTTCACTGATGGGAAGCACTTGAGGGCTTCTCTTAGACTTTGAAGAACTGCAAGTTTCTCTACTTTTTTTCAAAATTAAGAGGTATTTCTGGGCGACAGTAAACCGTGGATAACTGAAACTGTGGATACTGAATTCATGAATACGGGGCTTCTACAGTATGTAATAAATAAATAAATGTCACTGAATTAGTAAATAAATAATTACTGTAACTAACTAAATACAAGTATTGAAAAGTAAATAAATAAATACAAGTTTATCCTATCAGTAAATGTACAGTACCGTACATGGTAATACAGTGGACCCCCGCTTAACGATCACCTCCCAATGCGACCAATTATGTAAGTGTATTTATGTAAGTGCGTTTGTACGTGTATGTTTGGGGGTCTGAAATGGACTAATCTACTTCACAATATTCCTTATGGGAACAAATTCGGTGAGTACGGGCACCTGAACATACTTCTGGAATGAAAAAAATATCGTTAACCAGGGGTCCACTGTATTCAGTACTATACATGGTGATATTCAGAACTGTACATGGTAATATTCAGTACTGTACATGGTGATATTCAGTACTGTACATGGTGATATTCAGTACTGTACATGGTGATATTCAGTACTGTACATGGTGATATTCAGTAAGCTACATGGTGATATTCAGTACCATACCTGGTGATATTCAGTACTCTACATGGTGATATTCAGTACTCTACATGGTGATGTTCAGTACTGTACATGGTGACATTCAGTACTGTTTATGGTGATATTCAGTACTGTATATGGTGATATTCAGAACTATACATGCTGATATTTAGTACTGTTCATTGAGATATTCAGTACACTACATGGTGATATTCAGTGCAGTACATGGTGATATTCAGTACTGTACATGGTGATATTTGTTACTGTACATGGTGATGTTCATTACTGTACATGGTGGTATTCAGTACTGTACATGGTTATATTCAGTACCTTACATGGTGATATTCAGTACCTTACATGGTGATATTCAGTACCATATATGGTGATATTCAGTACTGTACATGGTGATATTCAGTACCTTACATGGTGATATTCAGTACCATATATGGAGATATTCAATACTGTACATGGTGATATTCAGTACCTTACATGGTGATATTCAGTTCTGTACATGGTGATATTCAGTACTGTACATGGTGATATTCAGTGCTGTACATGGTGTGATATTCAGTACCATACATGGTGATATTCAGTACCATACATGGTGATATTCAGTACCATACATCGTGATATTCAGTACCATACATGGTGATATTCAGTACTGTACATGGTGATATTCAGTACTGTACATGGTAATATTCAGTACCATACATTGTGATATTCAGTACCATACATGGTGATATTCAGTTCTGTACATGGTGATATTCAGTACTGTACATGGTGATAGTCAGTACCATACATGGTGATATTCAGTACTGTACATGGTAATATTTTGACTTCATGATGGTTCAGTAGCATACAGTACCGATATCACAAAAATCTTTGAGAGGGTCCTAGGAAGCAAGATTGCCACCCATTTAGATACCCATCAGTTACATAACCCAGGGCAGCATGGGTGTACAGCAGGTCGCTTCTGTCTGTCCCAACTACTGGATCACTACGACAAGGTCCTGGATGCAATAGAAAACAGAAAGATTGCAGATGCAATATGCACAGACTTTGGAAAAGCCTTCGACAAGTGTGACCATGGTGTAATAGCGCACAAAATGCGTGCTAAAGGAATAACAGGAAAAGTCTGTAGATGGATCTATAATTTCCTGACAAATAGAACACAAAGCATAGTAATTAACAG